GGGGACTTAGTTAGGCTTTGTTAGTTGACGAGGAAAATATGTTCTCCTATTTCCCAATGTGTATCCCATTCTAGTGTTTGTGATTGGAAGAGTATATCCATTCCCAAATTTTGTATTTTTTGGCTCCATCAGTTTCCGTACTCCAGGTTACGTTTATCCTCGGTCAGGTGAGCAACTGAATTAAAGAAACGAACTTCCACCCAAATTTTTAACGAAAAGCAAGCTTATATTTGCTCGGAGTTACTGCTGTTACCCAATCTCTAATGTCAGTCACATAACTAACTGCAGCTGCCATGGACAAAGCTTTTAACAATGGCACAAACTATAACATCATTGCAAATCTTGTGTTAAGCGAAAAGAAGCGATATAATTTAGACCTAACCAGCCACATCCTTACTTTAGTGATAAATTTTGTTTGCAAAAATCTACATTGCACAGCCTTTTTAAGTCAAAACGCAACACACACCTTAGCTGACAGCATTTTTATCACAGAGAGATCTATTTACAGAGACTTGGTAATTTTTTCGGTATCCTCTCACTACAGTTGACGTCAAGAAATCACTTGTTTAAATACAATCTTGGTGTGCTATAATGCAAGGTAAATTAAGGCCTCAATACTTCATGCCTTTAAGGCTTTGCCAATTAGGATGTGGGGTGTGCACTCCTTGAAGTAGTGAGAAATACTTCATGTCAATGAAAATAGGACTAACTTATTACGAGAGCATAAAAGTTAACCCAGAAATGATCCAGACCTAGAACACATCATAAACAGTGAAGCACGGAATCTACCTCCAAGGTCTAGGAGGTATGTTATGTATGCAATGGACATGTTTACACCAGAGGATTTCATGTATGGACCTGCTCCTAACCACTAAAAGGCTGGTCATTTCAGACATGCTTCATCTTCTCAAAATCTGAGTGCGGTGTAGATCGGGAAGAACGGCGATTCCCAGCGTCTGTCGGGTTAGAGTTCGAATATCGTGTCATATCTGCCAAAACCAGCATTAAAAATGGGGAGTCGCTAGCAGTTAAAGACTCGAATTATGCAGTTTGCATCTTGTCCCCACACCTGTCGCAAAATAGTACCTAGTAGAAATAACCAGTGCAGAGCAGTGTGTATCACAGAC